GTTGCATTTTTAGTTATTATTGACCAATGACAACAGCACATCAATGACAGCTAAGCTTGAAGATAATTAGTTAGTTATAACTAACATAGTTTGTTGTAACTAATCGAGTGTGAATAGCTTCATGATGTAATATATATTTAGATGAGTGAACAGTCATCGAATGTAACCTTCTATTCATTTTTTCCAATATACAAGATAATGAATCTTTCTTCGATACTCTTCCTCTCTGTTTTCTTTGTTTCAGTTTCCATGGGTTTCTTCATGGTATCAGAGCTTCTTTTGTGAAGCTCTGGTATTGATTCTTCAAATTCTTCTTTTCTTCCTATACGATCATAGCCATGGCAGAAGCATTGCCAGCTTTGGTCCAAAACAATAATCAATTACCAGAGTTTCTCACAAATCCAGGACACTCTCTATACCTTCATCCTAGTGAAAGCCCTTCCATTGTGTTAGTTTCACCAATTCTCAATGGTTCTAACTATCATGCATGAAGCTATTCACACTCGATTAGTTACAACAAACTATGTTAGTTATAACTAACTAACTATCTTCAAGCTTAGCTGTCATTGATGTGCTGTTGTCAAGTTTTGCACGAATTGCAAGAAGAACAATCACACAATTGAGACATGTTACTTTAAACATGGTTTTCCACCTGGATATAAATCCAGGAATCAAACCTGTGCAGCTGTAGCAAATGTCATTGGAGGTGATTTTCATTCTCAGGATCCTAATCTTCATGAGCAGCAGTTTATGTTTTCTGCAGAAGAACACAAAAGGCTACGTGCACTTTTACAATCTACCAATGGTACCAGTGAATCAAATGAGTCTCATGCAGTGAGTTTGGTTCAAGCATTTAATACAGAGGTAACTCAATCCCAAGGTAAATCTCAGCTAAATTGGATCTTGGACACTGGTGCCACAGACCATATTTGCTTTGACAAAACTCTTTTCCATTCCCTTACTAAAGTCTTGCCAATTACTATTTCTCTTCCTAATGGCCATCATGTCATATCTGAGTATTCTGGTACCATTTATCTTTCATCCCAACTTTGCTTACAACATGTATTGTTTGTACCTGAATTTTGAATCAACCTTATTTCTATAACCAAATTGTTAAGCAACATTCCTTGTTATATCATTTTTGATCATTCTCTATGTTTGATTAAACAGAAGGATACCAAGGCAACGATTGGTTCAGCTGAAGTAAGAGATGGGCTCTATATGTTAGTCATTAAAGATAACAAGACCATTGGCCATCAGATTTGCATACTGTTTATACAGCAAAAGAATGCAGTAATTTTTCCACTTGTAATAATGCTGCATTAGAAAATGATCGAGGCTTGGTCATTTGTCTCATTCTGTAATGAAAACTATGTGTACTCAATTCCCTTTTATGTCAATAAAGGAGATTTCCCCTTGTGATATTTGTCAATTTGCCAAACAACCAAAACTTTCTTTTCCTTTAAGTAGCACTATCAGCACTCAACCATTTCAAATCCTACATGCTGACATATGGGGTCCATATTCCACTCCTTCAATCCATGGCCACAAATACTTTCTCACCCTTGTAGATGATTTTAGTAGATACACTTGGTTGATTCTGTTGAAAACCAAAGCTGAAACCAGATCATCTTTGCAAACTTTCATTACATATGCAGAAAACCACTTCCAATATAAACTTAAAACCATAAGATCAGACAATGGCCTAGAATTTATCATGAAAGACTATTACAATACAAAGGGGATCATCCATCAACGCACATGTGTTGAGACTCCACAGCAAAATGAAGTGGTGGAAAGAAAACATAGACATATATTAAATGTGGCTCGTGCCATCTCCTTTCAAGCCAACTTGCCCATCAAACTTTGGAGTTATGCAGTGACACATGCCATACACTTAATCAATAGAACCTCCACACCAGTAATTGCCAATAAAAGCCCATATGAAGTTCTTTATGCTTCACCTCCTCCATTACTTCATTTAAAGATTTTTGGCTGTCTTGCTTATGCTACTACATTGACAGCTAACATATCTAAATTTGATCATAGGGCCCGAAAATGTGCTTTTCTTGGTTACCATCCCAACACCAAAGGTTATATCCTTTTTGACATTTCATCCCATGCTATTTTCATTTCTAGACATGTTATTTTCTTTGAAACATATTTTCCTTTCCCAACACCAGAACCCCATACAGATATATTACCCACCCCAGTTACTACACCTACCTCCCAAACACTTATTCATGATCCTCTCTTTCCACCATTATCTCAAGCTCCTTTAGTTACTCATTCTCCAGAACATGCTCCAGATCCACCAGCTACAGACCATACTACACCAGAACCAGCTCCACTAACTCGCAAATCCACACGAATTCGTCAAGCTCCACATTATCTTCATGACTATCATTGCAGCCTATCTACTTCTTCAACAAACCAAAGTAGCCAAGGTAATCCTTATCCTTTATCCTCTGTATACTCATTTGATTTTTGTTCCCCATCTTATAAACACACTTGTTTAAACCTGAGTGCACATGTGATACCAAAATCATATAATGAAGCCATTAAATATGATTGTTGGCGTAATGCAATGCAAGCTGAAATGCATGCTCTTGAACTAAACCGTACATGGTCTCTTGTTGACATTCCTCCCGGAGCTCAACCCATAGGCTGTAAATGGGTTTTCTGCATTAAACATAAGGCTGATGGTTCCATCGAATGCTACAAAGCACGCCTAGTTGCTAAAGGTTACACCCAATTGGAGGGAATTGATTACTTTGAAACATTTTCCCCAGTGGCTAAGCTTACTACTGTACGAGTTCTCCTTAGTCTAGCTTCCTCGAATAACTGGCTGCTTGAACAACTAGACGTAAATAATGCTTTCCTTCATGGTGATCTCCATGAAGATGTTTATATGCGTCCACCTCCAGGATTTATAGCTTCTTCTCCTCGGACAATATGCAAACTTGAGAAATCCATATATGGCTTGAAACAATCCAGCCGTCAGTGGTATGAAAAATTATCCTCTTCCCTGATGTTCATTGGATATACCCAATCTCAGGCAGATCATTCCTTGTTCATTCGTAAGACAGGAGCTTCTTTTACTGCCCTTTTGGTCTATGTTGATGATGTTTTACTTACTGGTAATGATTCTGATGAAATAAACAGAGTCAAGCATGTTTTGGATACGAAATTCAAGATTAAGAACCTTGGTCCAGCACGTTATTTTCTGGGATTAGAATTGTCTCGTTCTCCTACTGGTATAGTTGTTAATCAACGTAAATACACTCTTGAACTTCTTCAAGATAGTGGGTTGTTAGCTGCTAAGCCATCCTCCACACCTATGGATGCTTCTCATAAACTTCAACGAGAACAGGGAGAGCCTTATATAGATGCCGCTGCTTATCGACGTCTTATTGGGCGTCTCTTATACTTAACCACCACGAGACCAGATATTTCGTTTGCTATACAACAGCTAAGCCAGTATGTGTCTAATCCCATGCATGATCATCATGTTGCTGCTATGAAGGTTCTGCGATATCTAAAGGCTTCTCCCGGAACTGGATTGTTTTTCCCTGCTACCAATGACAACAACATTTCAGCATTTGCAGATGCTGATTGGGCTTGTTGTTTGGACACTCAACGTTCTATAACTGGATTCTGCATATTCATTGGCTCGGCCCTTGTTTCTTGGCGTTCCAAAAAGCAAAGCATTGTTTCTAGATCATCAACAGAAGCTGAGTACCGTTCTTTGGCTAACCTCACATGTGAATTACAATGGTTACATTTTCTACTCACGGATCTTGGTTGTGCTTCCACTAAACCTGCTTCTATCTTCTGTGATAGCCAATCTGCCATCTATTTGGCCCATAATCCGACATTCCATGAACGCTCTAAACACATAGAGCTTGATTGTCACATAATTCGCGAAAAGATCAATGTTGGTCTTGTCCATTTACTTCCTGTTTCTTCTACTGGTCAAGTAGCTGATATATTTACCAAACCATTGTATCCCAAACCTTTTTCCTTGAATGTTTCCAAGCTTGGACTCTTGGATATCCACCGTCCAGCTTGTGGGGGGGGGGGGGGGTATTGACCAATGACAACAGCACATCAATGACAGCTAAGCTTGAAGATAGTTAGTTAGTTATAACTAACATAGTTTGTTGTAACTAATCGAGTGTGAATAGCTTCATGATGTAATATATATATATAGATGAGTGAACATTCATTGAATGTAACCTTCTATTCATTTTTTCCAATATACAAGATAATGAATCTTTCTTCGATACTCTTCCTCTCTGTTTTCTTTGTTTCAGTTTCCATGGGTTTCTTCAGTTATAACTATTAGATTCGTTGGATTACTATTATCATTTTATTGAATTTAATATAAATATTTGTGATATCTTATGTTTCTTTGCAAAATTAATGGGTATTATAAGTTTAGCTTTATTTTTTGTTAAATTATTGAATATTAAATATAATATACGCAACATAAATTAAAAATATTATTCAATATCAAAACTGTCCTAACGTGTCGAAATCTAAATTTTTTTAGAATTAACGTGTCGGAGTGTCGTATCGTATAGTGTCTCGTATCCCGTGTCGGTATCGGTGCTACATAAGTGGTAGGGTAGTAGTAGAAATATTTTTTTCTTAAATATCAACACTGGTTATTGAGATTTCATTAGGGATAATTTTGAATATTAAATTTTAATATCAAAACGTGTTTTAACGTGTCGAAATCTAAATTTTTTTAGAATTAACGTGTCGAAGTGTCGTATCGTATCGTGTCCCGTGTCGGTATTAGTGCTACATAGGAGAATAAGACTTATTAGTCTTATACCAGAGTAAAAAGATCCTTCCTGTTTTATATTATATATCTATAATAAAAATTGTAATAAAATGAGACTGAAAGCACTGCTCGAGAATTTCAAAAATAATAACTCAATTTTTGTGGAGATAATGCAGTTAGACTATGGTTGCACAAATAAACAATACATAAATCTCATACTGCATTTTTATTCTTATATTTTTTTAAATGTGAATGGACAACTACAAGGAAAAACATTTAAGAAAAGAGGTAACATGAATAGGGAAATATGTCAAGCATCTACTGGCATTAATTAGTAGCAATAGTATGATGGCGCTCTACATCATGTTTTTTCTTGGATAGCCTCCATTAAATTTTGGAAGGGAAGAAACTTTTGATTAGATTAAGCTCCTTGCTGACATCAATCATACTCATTCTTTCTTTTGGTGATTCCACCGAACAAGCAAGTGCAATCTTAAAAAGCGAATGCAAACAGTTTTCTGCATTAGGATGCATAAGGCCAAGGTTTTTATTCTTAGTAGCATTTTCTTCAACAGTGAGAATAGTCTGGTCCACAATCTGCAAAAGGTGATTCAAAAGTGAAATTTTAACATAATTGTGGAGAGTATGACCATCTTTAAACATTTCATCAGTGGGTCTCTTTCCGGTTAACATTTCTAAAATCAGAATTCCGAAGCTATACATGTCGCCTTTAGTTGACACCTCAGAACCCATTCCATACTCTGAAAAGTAATGTAAATCAATAAATGCCATTAAAGATATCAAAAAATTAACCCAAAAGGAAATAAAGGACCATAAACAATAGCTAAAACTTGAAAATAAAAATTTTAACACCTTAACAAAACAATGCTAGGGTATACCTGGAGGAGCATAACCAATAGTTCCCTTTATTCCAATTGTGCTACTTTGCATGAAAGAGACTCCATCACTTGAGAGCAATCTTGCTAGACCGAAATCACTGACATGAGCTACCAAACAATCATCAAGAAGAACATTGCCAGGCTTCAAATCACAATGAATGATAGCTTGCTCACATTCGTAGTGAAGATAATGAATTGCATAAGCAACATCGTTAATAATATTAAACCTTTCCTCAAGGTTTAATGATCTAGGCTGAGCTACAATTTCTGTTGCTGGATGCAACCAACTTTCTAAGCTTCCATTTGTCATATACTCAAAAACTAGAGCTTGAAATTCTTGACCTTTGAAATCTGTGCTGAAACAACATGTTAAAATCTTAACCAGATTTCGATGCCTAATATTTTTGAGTGCATTGCATTCTGCAATGAAACTCTTGTGAGCTCCCTTCTTTTGAAGATTTAGGACCTTTATCGCAACAACTGTGTCTTCTGGCTCAATAATTCCTTTGTATACAGAGCCAAAACTTCCAGATCCTATCAAGTTTCTTATTGAAAACCCATCGGTTCCACGGTGTAGGTTTTGGTATGAAACCTTGGCTAGCTGGTCAATTGTTGGTGAATCAGAAGATGATTTCTTGTTTTTTTTTCTCATCCAGTAGAAAGTGGACATGGATGACAATATGAGAAGAAAAGCAACCACACTAATCATCACTGCTATCAACTTGAAATTATGGTGTTTTACATGTTTATCACCTTTGACAGGGCATGGCGATAGATGTAGCTCTAAAACACCTCCACAAAGATTATTGTTTCTAATCACTGCTAACTTGCTTGCATATTGAAAGACACCTTCAGTTGGTACCTCACCATCCAACATGTTAAATGATACATTTAAGTATTCTAAGAAATGAATATTCTGCAAAACATCAGGAATCGACCCAGACAAGTGATTCCGGGATAGGTCTAATTTTTGAAGACCTTTTAGTGAAGCCAAAGAGGATGGAATGATTCCATGGAAGGAATTCTCCTGCAAATAGAGGTACTCCAAGCTTGAGCATTCTCCAATGGTTACAGGAATATTACCAGATAGATGATTCTTAGAGACATCCAGGTAATCAATATTTTTCAATTGGCCCACTTCAGCTGGTAGACTACCACTTAATGAGTTGTGGGACAAGTCTAGTGAATTTGTCAAAGAGGAAAGACTAAAAACCTCTAAGGGTATGGTTCCTCTAAGATCATTTTGGGAAAGGTCCAAATATTGTAACTTTTGGCAATTTCGTATACTTAGAGGAATATTTCCTTCTAACAAATTTTGGTCTAAACCCAAATGATACAACAAACTGAGGTTTCCTATGATGAATGGTATAACTCCTGACAGCTTGTTTCCACTCAATGCTAGAAGTTGCATATTCTGAAACTTTCCAAAAGCAGATGGAATAATCCCCTCAAGATGGTTATTTTCTATACCCAAGACAATTAAGCTATATAGATTTCCTAATTCTGCTGGAATTTGTCCTGATATCTCATTACCCCCAATATATAGTTTACTGAGTTGGGAGGATAAATTTCCCAAGCAATTTGGCAAACGACCTCCAAAGTTATTGTCGGCCAGATCTAACCATTGCAACTTACTACAATTTGTTAATGATTTTAAAAACTCCAAATCCGTGGTTAAATTGTCACCTAGACTGTTATTGGTAAATCTTAGTATGAGAAGATCTTGTAGCTTGCCTAGACTTGGAACTTGTCCCACGAAATTGTTATTACCAAAATCAAGTGCTTGAAGGACAGAAGTATTTGCAATGGAAATGGGGATTGTACCTGAGATTTGATTCCTGCCAATTGCAATCGCTTGGAGATTGGGAAGAGTGAGGAACATGTTGGATGGAAGAGAGCCATTAAATTGATTTTTTGTAGCTGAGATTAAAACAAGAGATGACATATTATAAAGACAAGAAGGAAGTATACCAGACAACTTGTTTTGACCCAGTGCTAACCATGTCAATTTTTTGAGGCAGCATATTTCTCTTGGAACATATCCCTCTTAAGTTATTAATACCCACCCCGAGCTGAGTTAGAGATGAAAGATTCCCTAAGAATGGTGGGACTCCTCCTGTTAAATTGTTTTTCGCAAGGTGCAATTGTTGAAGCTTGCGAAGAAAGGAAATTTCAATTGGTATATTACCAATCAGATTGTTCCCATATAAGAATAAGACTTTGAGATCAAGGCAACTCGTCAAGATCGTAGGAATTTCCCCAGTCAATGAGTTATTCATGAGATAGAGTTGCTGCAGTTGTAATAATCGACCCAACTCTTGTGGGATTTTTCCGTAGAAGCTGTTGTTTCCGAGGTTGATGCTTACAAGAAAAGAGAGATTGCCAACTTGTGGAGATATGGACCCACGCAAGTGATATCCTTCAAGGTTCAAAACATTAACTCTTTGATGCATGGGGCTGCATGTGATTCCATGCCAGTTGCAAAAGTGGGTAGAACTATTCCAAGTGACCAAGATTCCATATGGGTCATCGGAAATTGATTCCTTAAATTTCAGCAATGCCATGTGATCTGTCTCGTTTCCTGATGTATAGGCAGTTGGGTTTGGGCCAAACCATAATGAGTTCAAAGTAAAGAGAAGAGATAGGTGAAGGCATGAAGAGAAAAATGCAGGTAACATGAGAGAAAGAGAAAAAGGCTTCATTTTTTGGTTGAGGAAGACGAAAATAATTGGATGGAAACAGAGAAGAGGGATGTTACTTCCTTCCGTTACTCTCTTGCACTTAAATACTGGAGACATATAAGAAGATATATAAGAAGTTAAGTGTATCAATATGAAGATATATAAGAAGTTCTTTATGTTTAATGAATAAAACTTGGCCTTTTCTCTCTTCTGTCTTGATATCTCTCTGATTTTCCCTCTAATTTTGGTTACTAGTCAGTCAGTAGTCAAGGCTTCCGGTAAAAGTCTCTGCACGTCTGCTTCAGCGAGCTATTCACGCTTTGATTAGGAGGTATTTCAATTTCAACACATTTGAATGTCACATGCTAATCAGACAAAACAGAAATTCAATGGAAACATAGCATGTCAATTAAATATATGTTAAAATATTTTAAAAACAATTTATTAAAATTTAAATAGTTGAATGAATTAATCTAAAAATACAAACGAATTTCTTTACATTTAACAAATAAAACTCGGCCTTTTCTCCCTCTTCAGTCTTCATCTTTTTGTTTTTGATGTAGTACGTTTTGCATATTAGTCAGTAGCTATGATGCAACACGGACACGGGACACGATACGCCGACACGTTAATTTTTAAAAATGACATATTTCAACACGTTGGGACACGTTTTGATATTAAATAATATTTTTAATATATATAATATAATTTATATTTAATAGATATAACAATCCATAATAAGTCATATAACCAATCAAATATTCAAATTTCATAACATAAATATAAACAAAAATAATTTTTCGTACCTCGTTAATTTTTCATGTCAAATTTCATAACAGAAAAAAATTTATTTATAAATAATTTTTTTTACTTTTAGTTAATAAAATAAAATTAAGATTAAAAAAAAACGTGTCCGAGCATTGACCACGTGTCCGAAAAAATTGACTGCGTAAACGTGTCGGAGCGTGTCCGAACGTTGACCACGTGTCCCAAAATATTAATCGCATGTCAGATACGTATAAGAATATGTCCGTGTCGGACACGCACAATTCAAAGAAAATAGGGAGTCCTTGTTTCACAGATCAGCAGTCATTCCCCGGTTTATACGTTCCTTACCAAGTGAAGTCTTGATAAATTTGAATTTATTGCTTTTGATAAAAAAGCCTATGCTTAACTGCTTCTCCACGGCTAGCAATTTTTTTTATTTTTTATTTTATTTACTTTGATTAGACAACCGTTTCTTATGGGTTGTGGAAAATTGGAAGCTGAGGTTTTCTAATAATGCAATGTGGACTAGCTTATATTGCTACAGAGAATAGTCATATGTCACCATTTCGGTCTTTGTCTATATGGTTGGTTTCTCGTCAAGCCTTGGTTTATACTTTCTAATACAAAGTGAGAGGTATATGTGCAACACATTTGAATACTTTTATAGCATCTGAATGTGCTCCATAGAAACTGCCTACTTATTATTACATGTAAAGTTGTGTTATATGTTTCACATTTATTTTGTAGAAAATTTTGATTCCGGACCTACTTCCATTTTGATCTTTTCGAAGAAGATGGGTCCACTATCTCTTTCATCACCTTAATTACGGGGAATTGATTTGCCACCTATCTTTTTGTATTTCCTTTTTCTTTTTTCTCCAACAAGACACGGGCTTGTGTTATATATACATAACATTAACAATTATTTGTAGTTTTCATTCCCGAAGAACAAATTTGACAAGATATTTTGTAATGAGATAGATAAGAAAATATAAAGTTAAACGTTAATTGTGCATTGGTCAATCATTCTTGCATAATATTTTTGTAATTGGAGTTTTTTCTCTTATAACATGTTATTTAGATATTACTTTAGGAATCTTGTATTTGTAACACATCTTCGTTTGTACTCGTGTATAAATTTCTCATGTATAAAGGATAAGTTTGTACACAGATCGAACAGGCATATTTCTTCCTTCTGTCAATCTATGGACTTAAATACTGGAGGTGTTCGATTTTATTTAACCGTATAAGATATACGTTCAAAGATATCTAAGAGATAGATATCTGATAGACTTAAAGTGAATGCTCCAATCACTACGCACTATCAATAGGTGTATAGCCAAGATATGGATGTATACATAATATTGGTAGCAATAGTAAAATAGGTCAAAAGTATATACTTGAGGTTTTTAACCTTTTATTTATAGGGATTATCTATAAGTCAAGTCAATTACTAGTGTCCAACTAAATATAAAAATAAAAAATCATCCCTATAAGTCAAGTCAGTTGATCTGTCTCGTTTACTAACAAAAGAGGTTCAATGTTTAGTCCAAACCACACCAAGTTTATGTTGGGCTTCCTCCTTCAATGCTAAGCCCAAGCCCATTGAGGGGTTTCCTAAAGACCCTAACCCTAGATCTCACATCCTCTATATATTCATTAGTTGTGGGTGGAGGCTAAGTTAAGAGATTAGAGAGAAAATTTGAGAGAATTATTTGAGAGATTTGAGCAAAGCCTTATGTTTTGTATTTGAGAGATCTCTAGAGAGTTTGAGTGCAACATCTCTAGGGAGATTTGATTATCACCATTGTTGGAAAGGTTGAGTTAACCACCACATTGGTGAGTTTGATTATTTGTAACCATTATTTTCATAGTGGATTTTTGATCTGGACTAGGTTCCGTGGGTTGAGTTAACCACCACATTGGTGAGTTTGATTCTCACGTTAAAAATTGCTTGTGTCCTCTCTCTCTTCTTCTCCTCTCTCTCCTATTTTTCGTTTTGATTTTTTCGCTGCGCTGCCCAACCTGGTGAAGTTCAGGCCGAGGTATTGCCGAGATCCGAGATCCGAGATCAGGATCTTGTTGATTGACTTCTGCGCAAAGGCTGCTTAGTCGAGCTTGAAGGAACCGAGTTCCCAACAGTGGTATCAGAGCCCGAGTTCGACAGGTTCTGAGGGAGACGAGATGGAGACCAGTGGCATAACCAATGATGGAGATATGTTCAAGCTGCCCGCAGACAATTTCACATATTGGAGACCGATGATGGAAGATTATCTCTATTGCAAAGATTTACACGAGCCCATTATCCTTGATGAGAGACCAGCGAGCAAAACCGATAAGGAGTGGGAGATTCAGAGTCGTAAGGCGGTAGCTACAATCAGAAAGTATATTGACAAAAGCCTCTTTGAGCACGTGTCCGAGTTCACGAACGCGTATGAGTTGTGGACGAAGATGGAGTCCATGATTCAGAAGAAGACTCCCAGGAACAAAGCACACTTGGTTCGCCGACTTGTGAAGTTGGAATACAAGAACGACATGAGCATGATTGAACACCTGAACACCTACAAAGGTATTGTGAATCAGCTGTCAAAGGCTCATATGAAAATTGATGACGAGATGCAGGCCTTGCTGCTGTTGAGTTTGCTGCCAGAAAGCTGGGATACTCTGGTGGTGACCTTGAATAATTCGACTCCAGATGAAAAATTGAAGATGGTGTCGTGACAGACAGCCTCCTGGGCGAAGAATCCAGGAGAAGAGAATGAGGTATTTCGAGCACGTTTAAGGCCAACGTTGTTGAGAACAGAGGGAAATCCGACTCCCGGGGTAGAAGCAAAAGCCGGGGTCGAGGTCGTGACAAGAGAGAAAAGTCTAGAGGTCGGTCAAAGCCGAGATATAAGTTGAAGTGCTTTTACTGTGGAAAGACATACCATAAGAAGCCAGACTGCTGGACCCTGCAGAATGATGAGAAGAACGGCTCTGTGAAGCTGGATCAGATTATTCCCAAGAAGAGGGAAGACAAGAGCACCACTGCTGTGGCTGCCAACCCAGATGCCGAGATATTCCTCCTTGGTGAGAATAATTATTTAAATGTTGCCTATGATGACTGCATTTGGATTATTGACTCCGATGCTTCCTTCCACGTTACTCCACACAAAGGTTTTTTCTCCTCTTACCGAGGCGGTAATTTTGGAGTCGTGAAGATGGGAAATCAGGTGACCAGAAATATTGTTGGTGTAGGTGATGTGACCCTGACCACATATGTCGAATGCCGACTTGTGTTGAAGGATTTGGGGCATGTACCTGACACGCGTTTGAACCTAATCTCGGTAGGCAAGCTTGATGATGTCGGGTTAGTGAACTACTTTGGTAGTGTTAGATGGAAGCTGGCCAAGAGAAACTTGGTCGTGGCCCGAGGTAAGAAGGAAGGCTCCTTGTACATGATGCAAGGAAAGATCAATGGCGGAGAAGCCAATTCTGTCCGAGATGAACCTAGCTTGGAGCTATGGCACAAGCGCCTCGGCCACATGAGCGAGAAAGGGCTCCAGATCCTGAACAAGAAAGGATCACTGACCGGGTTGAAAGGCCAAGCGTTGGAGAGTTGCACGCATTGCCTAGC